GAAAAAAAGACAGCATGGTATCGGTGAAAGAATAGACAAATACATCAATGGAACAAATAGAGAGCCAGGAAACAGACCCACACAAATATGGTCAACCGATCTTTGACAAAGGAGCAAAGGCAACTCAATGGAGAAAGGCAGCCTTTTCAACAAATGATGCTGAAATAATTAGACATCCATATGCCAAAAAAAAAAGAAGAATCATCTAGACACAGTCCTTATACCTTTCACAAAAATTAACTCTAAATGAATCCTAGACCTATATCCAAAACGCAAAACTATAAAACTTCTAAAAGATTAACAAGGGAAAAATCCAAGTGACTCTGGATTTGGCGACGCTTTTAAATACAACAGCAAAAGTATGATTCATGAAAGAAAAATTGACAAGTTGGATTTTATTAAAATTTAAAAATTCTGCTCTCTGAAACACACTGTTAAGAGAATAAAGAGACAAGCCACAGAATGGGAGAACATATTTGCAAAACACATATCTGATAAAGGACTTGTATTTAAAATATACAAAGAACTCTTAAAATTCAACAATAAGAAAACAAACAACCCAATTAAAAAATGGGCAAAAGATCTGAATAAACACTTGACCAAAGAAGATATACAGATGGCAAATAAGCATGTAAAACTATGTTCAACATCATTTTTCATTAGGGAATTGCAAATGAAAACAACAATGAGATACCACTACACATCTATTAGAATGGTTAAAATCCAAAAAACTGACAATACCAAATGCTGACAAGGATGTGGAGCAACAGGAATGTTCATTCACTGCTATTGAGAATGCAAAATGGTGAAAAACTTTGGAAGACGGTTTGGCAGTTTCTTACAAAGCTAAATAGTCTTACCATATGACCTAGCAATTACACTCCTAGTTATCTAACCACCCAAATGAATTGAAAACTTACATCCACACAAAAATCTGTATATAAATGTTTATAGCAGCTTTATTCATAATCACCAAAAACTGGAACAACCAAGATGTCCTTCAGTAGGTGAATGGATAAGCAAACTGTGCTACATCCATACAATGGAATACTATTCAGTGATAAAAATCAATGAGCTATGAAGCCATGAAGACATGGAGGAACCTTAAATGCAAAGTGCTAAGTGAAAGAAGCCAACCTGAAAAGGCTACAGACTGTATAATTCTAACTATATGACATTTTAGAAAAGGCAAAACTATAGAGACAGTAAAAAAATCAGTGGCTGCCAGAGGTTCAGGCAGAGCGAGAGGAAGGATGAATAGCTGAAGCACAGATGAAACTGCTCTGTATGAAACTGTAATGGTGGACATATGTCATTATGCATTTGTCAAAATCCATAAAATGTGCCACACAAAGAGTGAACCTTACTGTAAACTGTACACTATAATAATAATGTATCGATATTGGTTAATTGTAACAAATGTACCACACTAATGCAAGATATTAATAATAAGGGAAACTATGTGGGGGCGGGGGAGGCCAGAACGGTATATGGAACTATATGTGCTATTTTCTCAATTATTCTGTAAATCTAAAACTGTACTTAAAAATTAAGTCAATTAATTATTTAAATGCACTTAGCATACAATCCAGCAATTGCACTCATATGCATTCATCCCATACAAAAACTTTACACAAACAATCATAGCATCTTTATTCATAACAGCCAAAAAAGGAAACAACCAAGATGTCCTTCAGCTAGTGACTGGTTAAGCAAACTGTGGTACATCCACATCATGGAATACCATTCAGCAATAAAAAGGAACAAACTATTCATATACACAACAATCTGGATGAATCTCCAGAGAATTGTGCTGAGAATAAAAAAGGCCAGTCCAAAAGGTTACATACTGTATGATTCCATTTATATGACATTCTTGAAATGACAAAATTATAGAATTGGAGCACAGATTAGTGGTCGCCAGGTGTTAAGGAGGGAGTGTGCGAGGAGGGAAGCGGTTGTGGCTGTTAAAGAGCAACACGGGGGATCCTTGTGGTGATAAAAATGTTCTGTATGTCAATATCCTGGTTATCATATTGTACTAAGGTTTTGCAAGATGTTACCATTGGGTTCGGAAACTGGGTAAACGGTACATTGCATTTGAATCTACAATCATCTCAAAATTAAAATTTATCTATAAAGAAAAAAGAAAGAAAAAATATGAAAAAGTAGTCTCCTCCTTACCTCAAGGAACCTCTGGGGTGATTTCCCATTAGCTGGCATGTTCACCTGGGTCTCAGAGCTGGAGGGGCGTCTGTAAGTGGGCTTCAGTCAGAATGAGTGGAAGATCTTACAGCCTCCAGTAAGGGAAAGCTCAACAGCTCCACAGAGACGCCAAGAATTCCTAAAAGGACAGTATTCATGTCATCAGCGTCATTCTACATTCACGCCACAAAGTTCAGCAACCCCCACTCTCAGTATTAGTCAGGGTGGATTATGGAAACAATCACGATATTTGGAGTCAAATTAATGAGCTCAGAGTCCTTTATTTATGAGTGGCTCCACACATTACCTAGCCAGCCCATCCCTCAATTCCAGGTTCAAGGCAGATCTGGGTCTGGGGGGGAGGGTGGAACTGGGGAAGTGAAGTGCTGAAGCCCCATGGGGTGGGCAGGGGAAGGACTTGTCCATGGGGACCTGGTGGGTGATGTGGAGGCAAGAAACCTGGAAACCTGGTAATCTGAATGAAAGGGATCTCTTCTGCCTTCTTTAATTATTTTGCCATTTTAGGGTGAAAAATCCCTCTTAAAGTCTTCTACAATGAAGCTCTCAGACTCTTCTTTCCAGAAGATAGTAAAACATTAATGATATTATTTATTAAATCAACAAATGGGGGGGGACATGCTGCTACTAACTTACACCAAAAAGCATTTGACACCATTCAGCAGTCATTACTAATAAAAACTCAAACTAAAATTAGAGAACTAAATCAGCTAAATATCACAAAAACCATTTACAAGACATAGCCCTGAAATACTACTCTAAAAAGTAAAATGATGTAGATATTGCCATTAAAATTAGCAACAAGATAGGGACGTCTGATACAACTCAAAACTGTTTCTCTGGCTCTAGCTCACACTGTAGATAATGAAACAATCATAATAAATATTGCAAAGAAGTGAAAATGCAGCTTTCTTTGCCAATGATATGATTTTATGCCTGGAAAACCTACCAGACTCTACTAGAATTCATAGAGTAATTTGACAAGAGGCTGGATACAAGTTAAAATTATAAGAGCAGATAGTTTTTCCTCTATAATAGCAATGATCAAATGAAAATGGGAAAAAAATCCATTCATAATGATAGCAAGAAATATATAAAATATGTAAAATAAACTTTTTAAGGCTCTGTACCTATACGATTAAAATCATTTTTTAAAAATTGACAAATATAAAATAATCACACAGACATACCACATCCCTGGACAAGAAGATTTAATAAAAATGTCAACCCTCCCAAAAGCATTATGTTAAAGTAATGTAAAGAGTAAATAAAAAAAGAAAAATTAAACACAAAGCTCAATAATAATAATATGATGTATATAAAATGCTGTGGAATGCAGCTAAAGAGATTCTTAAAGGGAAATTCATGTTCTTAAATGTTTTTTAACGGAGAAAGGCTGAACATTAACGAATTAACATCCAATTTAAGAAGTTAAAGAGAAAAAAGTACAGATAGCAGAAATTAAGGAAATAGAAAACAAAGGTACATCAGAGAGGATCAACAAGCCAAAAGTTGGTTCTCTGAAGGCTAATAAAATTAGCAAACCTATGGGGAGACTGATAAAGGAAAAATCTAAACACACACTAGTAAGAACTGACAAGATGCAATAAGGAATCTAAAAGCTGACCACCCCACAAGCCCCCATCCCTGATCAGCAGAGATTCTCATTCACTACATTCTTTAATTCTCCAACAAGTGACCCCACAAAGTGACAATTTATCATTCCCAAAAGCCAACAAAGCCATCACCTCAAAATCACCTCAGTGACTGTCACGCCATAAACCCTCGTGCACTCTCTTATAGCGCCGCGCGCCAATTAGGCTTAAACGGCCTCTGAGGGCCACTTCCGTTTCCTGTCCTCACCCCTGACATTGCCCCTTTTGGGGCTGTTGGTTTCGCATACGATCCTAAGGGCTGTGAGGCTGTGGTCTACTCACTCTGAACCAGGTGCGATTATGGATCGGCAGACTTTGTCCACGAGTGGCGTTGTCGGGCGAGGAACATGGCTGCGCCGAGGCGTTCCTCCATGAGGGCCGCCATCTTGGCGTCCATTCCGTACAGTGGGTTGTTCCACAGAAGGCGGGGGCGGGGGGCATTGTTCAGGGGTAGAAACCTTCTGAGGGCAAGCTTCCGGGAGGAGCTGGTGTTTGAAACTGGGTTCTGTAGATCTGCGCAAAGTTTATAGAAGTAGAGGTGCCCACCCCCATCCCCGGGGGGAGGGGAGATGTGTTCTAATCTTCAAGGGCGATACCACTGGTGGGGGGGAGTCAGGATTACAGTTTCCTCCCCGGGGATGTCTCAGTATTAAACGAGAAGTTAGGATGGTACAGTCCCTGTCCTGGCCTATTCCACTGGGCAAGAGAGGGAAGGAGTCAGGATGGTACAATCCTCTCCTTGGCGATACCACTGGGAAGAGGGGGAAAAGTCAAGATTAATGCGGGTCCCCTCCTGGGCAATACCACTGGAGAAGAGGAGGGAGGAGTCAGGGTGATAACAATTTGCTCTTGATGTGCTGGAGTTGGTATGGAGGGGATTTGAATCCCCCTCAATCTCTATCACCCCACTAAAATGATAGTAGGTGGGAATAATAATAATATTAATAGCCTGTGATATGGACAAGTAATGTTTTTCAACAAATTGTCAATAGAAAAATATTTAGAAAACGTTATAAGCATACTTTCAATGAAAATGCATTTCCAAGACACACCCCCAACTCCTGCTGTCAACCAGGTCGCAGCCACTTAGCCTGTCTTATATGGAAATTCAGGAGCTGCTACTGACTCTTGGGAGAGAAGAGAGAATTCTGGATGTTCTTCACCTCTGAATACCTACACATTCTTCAAAACTAGTCCAAGTAGACCCTCCTCCAGGAAGCTTTCTCTGACAAGAGGTGGAATACTCTTTTCCCTACTGAGGGTGTTTCAAACCCAGCAGGTAGGCCCTGGCTAAGCTTGGGTATGGATTGCTGGGTACCCTAAGGACATTCAGATCCTCTCTCTGCGCCTCAAATCAACAATCTAGAGAGTTAGAGTGTTAGCCTCTCAGATTATCCTATTTTCTGTGTCTCCCCTGCAGTATTTGTGAATTGAATGGAAGACAGAATGGCAAATGTGAGAACATTACTGTAACATACACACTTTTACATAAATTTCCAAAAATTATTATCATGACTTCTGGTCAACTTCTCAAATCCTAGACTCTGCTAACTTCCACCATCAATGCCTCCTAGACTGATCTCAAACCTTTCTTAACACCACCAACACCTATGTTCCACTCTTCTGATCTGGATTCATGTCCTCTATTAATGATTCCACTATCAATGTCCCTGTATTTGACCCTGAATCCGAGCTACTGCTAACGCTTCCACCACATGTGTCCTTCTTTTATAGATTGAAAGACTAGGCATGTGTTAATTTTCCACTATCAATGCCTCTCTGGTCTAGATCTCAACTATTAGACCATGGTTAACTTTTCTACCATCAATGTCCTGTTGTTTTTTTGTTTGTTTGTTTGTTTTGGTTTTTGGTTTTTGTAAGGAAGATCAGCGCTGAGCTAACATCCATGCCAATCCTCTTTTTTTTGCTGAGGAAGACCGGCTCTGAGCTAACATCTATTTCCAATCCTCCTCCTTTTTTTTCCCCAAAGCCCCAGTAAATACTTGTATGTCATAGTTGCACATCCTGCTAGTTGCTGTGTGTGGGACGCCGCCTCAGCATGGCCAGAGAAGCAGTGCATCGGTGCGCGCCCAGGATCCGAACCCAGGCAGCCAGCAGCAGAGCGCATGCACTTAACTGCTAAGCCATGGGGCTGGCCCAGTGTCCTTTTGATTAGACCTTGTTGGGGGAAGAGGGAGAATCCCCCTCTGCCCCTTCCCTTAAGGTTCTTATGGCTGGCCAAATAATTAACAAGACAGGTTAGCAGGAGAAAATAATACCAAGTTTA